CAGAGGAAAACTGGGGAGGCAGGTTGGTCAGTTTCACTGGCGGAATATGCAAAGACTCAGATTGTACGAGAGCAGAAATAGATGAGCTTGTGGACCGACTTCTAACAATTCTTTACACAAGTAACTCAACCCACCCCTGAGGCTGACCCAACAGACATCACATTGATATCTACAGACAATGACATCCGCCTAAACACAGCTACCATTGCCAAGTACACGTCGTTTAAACTGATGATGGAAAAACTCCTAAATAGCACGCCTTACTAAAGTCACTCCCCCAGGCTGACTTGCCACAAACCCCAACCACCGGCACCGGGAGTACAAATCCTCAGCCGTACAATACTTCCCAACGACCTGGCACTTTGACTAAAAAATCACAAACTACATTCTCCCACGACAAATCCTCCAACCACTCCCAGATATTCAACACAGTGTATTACTGTACTGGCACGTCACAGAAGACCGATGTAATCACATCCCAGACATAAAAATCCAAAATACGACAACATAACAACCCTTCTTCAACTAACCTACCCCAACCAAACCCAACCTACCCTAACCCAACCCAAGCTACCCTAACCCAACCAAACCTACCCTAACCCAACCCAACCTACCCTAACCCAACCCAACCCAACCTACCCTACCCCAACCAAACCTACCCCAACCAAACCTAACCTAACCTACCCCAACCAAACCTAACCTAACCTACCCCAACCAAACCTAACCTAACCTACCCCAACCAAACCTACCCCAACCTACCCCAACCAAACCTACCCCAACCAAACCTAACCTAACCTACCCCAACCAAACCTAACCTAACCTACCCCAACCAAACCTAACCTAACCTACCCCAACCAAACCTAACCTAACCTACCCCAACCAAACCTAACCTTATACACATTAACCCCATGTTACTTAATGTATTCTAACTCCCTACCATAATCTACCCTAAATTATCTGAATTGTGACTAATTCCCAAACATACATACTCACAATCTGTCTTTTGACTAATCCACACTTTTCATAATACAGCAACATTTGGATACCACCATTAACACCACCCCTCATCTTTGCCATCCTAAGACCATTTCTACTTGTATGTCTATTTTTATTATTATCCTCACACAAATACAAGACATCGATAATTTCCAACATCTGCCAAATTCTGATGATGCGCCACCGAAAGTGCCACATCTATCAACATGACAACTCGTGCAGTCATCGGGAGGAAAAAATCTTCCTGCAAACTGCATGTATTGCGAAGAAGAGGAGCTTGTGGATGTGCTGGGGTCCAAAGCACAGAAACCATTGTGGATCTGAGGAAGGGTGGGGCACAACATAATGCATGAGCATTAGTCATGCCAAAAAAACAGAAACTAAGCACTTTGAAAAAGAGAAACCTGGCACTTTGCTTCAAGGAAAAACCATGATCTCGATGTCAAAAGAGGACAGCCTCTTCAAACTTATAATGAAGGCATGAATGCAAAATTACTGAGTGGGGCCTCTCCACAGTTAATCCAGTGAGCATGAGAAGAATAGTCTGGCTTAGAATGGGGAGAGGAACCACATATGAGGGGAGGGGAAAAAAAAACAGCATTGAATGTAATGAAACGCCATTTTCTGGGTAAGCCCCGGAGGCTCCCTGATGCTATTCGAACTGATATGTGCTATATTAGTTTGGGGTCATCAGTCACAGGAGTTCTTATGCCTACCACGAACCATGAGCCAGAACCTGGTCCCCTCAGACAGGTGCAGGAAACAATGGCCTATGAGCACCTTACATTTAAAATATGTCATAATTGCCATCGACCGGGTAAGGACCAGAAAGGTAGGCAAATCAAAACAGACCACAGTCTGGTTAACCTGTGCAATCTACATTCTAAAAGATCAAAATAACTCTCCTAGAAAGAAGCCTAACAAGCAACACTTCATGCAACTACTAGCAACTAGCATTAGTGCTACCCACTCCAAAGGGGGGGAAGTGGGAGCAGGCTCCCTACCATTCCAGTTCTTGAACGATGAAAATCACTGACCGGAGGGAAGGAGGGTGTCAGGGAGCCTCCAGAGCTCTCCCAGAAAAGGGCATTTCATTACATTCAACGCTGGTTTTTTGTGGGGCAGCTCTGTCAGTTCCCTGAAGCTAACTACTCAAAGATAAGTAGAAGGTGGACATACCCAAGAGGCAACAGCACCTCAGGTCTCAAAATGAGGAAGAGACGGCAGTGACAGGCACCCCACAGTCCCTGAAACCTCTCTGAAGGGGCCAGGTTCTAGCTCGTGGTCCCTGGTAGGTCAAACTCCATAGCTAATGCCCCAGTCTAATATATCATACATTAGCCTGATAGCTCCAGGGAACCTCTGGGGCTCCCCACAAAAAAACCCTCCTAAAGTTTAGGTAACCATATGTATGTTTTAAAGGTAAATGTCAAAGAAATATAAATCTGAAACCATGTACTCACCTAGTTGTACTCGTCTAGTTGTGCTTGTGGGGGTTGAGCTCTGGCTCTTTGGTCCCACCTCTCAGCTGTCAATCAACTGGTAATTACCCAAGTGTAGTTACAGGATGAGAGCTACGCTCGTGGTGTCCCGTCTTCCCAGCACTCTTTGTCATATAACACTGTGAAATTACTGACAGTTTTGGCCTCCACCACCTTCTCACCTAACTTGTTCCAACTGCCTACCACTCTGTTTACAAAAGTGAATTTTCTTATATTTCTCCAGCAGCTTTGTTTCGTTAGTTTAAATATATGACCTTTTGTTCTTGAAGTTCCGGGTCTTAAGAATTCTTCCCTATCAATTTTATCGATTCCAGTTACTATTTTGTATGTAGTGATCATATCTCCTTTTTCTTCTATCTTCTAGTTTTTGCATATTTAATGCCTCTAACCTCCCCTCCTAGCTCTTGGCCTTCAGTTCTGGTATACAGATTCCTGAGCCTACTGGGCCCTATCATATTTACATTTGAAACTGTGTATGGAATCTGCCTCCACCACAACACTGCCTAATACATTCCATCTGTTAACTACTCTGACACTAAAAAAAGTTCTTTCTAGCATCCCTGTGACTCATTTGGGTACTCAGTTTCCCACCTATGTCCCTGTATTCATGTACCACCCATGTTAAACAGTATCTTTATCTACTCAGTCAATTCCTCTGAGAATTTTGTAGGTCGTGATCATGTCTCCCTTTACTCTTCTGTCTTCCAGTGTCATGAGGTGGATTTTATGCAGCCTGTCCATGAGTAATCTTGATTTGGACTACTTAATACACATTTATATAACTTTTTATGGTCAGATTCTTTAGTCCCAAAGGATTCCTTTTTGCCTCATTGTTATTTGACAAATATTTCAATTCATATGATATACTGTACTATGTTCCTGGGCTTTACTAAGAATGTTTTTAATCAAGTTATAATTTGTATGTACACCATAAACCAGTTACATGTCACCCACCTTGCGTTTAGCTTGTGATGTTTTCGGGGCTCAATGTTCTCGCAGCCCGGTCAACGACCAGGGGCCAGATTCACGAAAGCACTTGCGCAACCACTTACGAACGTGAACATCTTTCCTCAATCTTTGACGGCTTTGGTTACATTTATTAAACAGTTTACAAGCATGAAAACTTCACATTAAACTGTTGTTATTGTTATAAACAGCCTCCTGGTACTTTGGAGCTCATTAACTGTTTAATAATGGGAAACAAAGCCGCCAAAGATTGAGAAAAGATGTACAGGTTCGTAAGTGCTTGCATAAGTGCTTTCGAGAATCTGGCCCCAGGCCTCCTGGTTGCTGGACTGGTCAATCAGGCTGTTGGATGCAGCTGCTCGCAGCCTGACGTATGAATCACAGCCGGGTTGATCAGGTATCCTTTGGAGGTGTCCGTCAAGTTCTGTCCTGAACACTGCAAGGGGTCGGCCAGTTATACCCCTTATGTGTAATGGAAGCGTGTTGAACAGTCTCGGGCCTCTGATGTGATAAGAGTTCTCTCCGAGTACCTATTGCACTTCTGCTCTTCAACAAGGGTATTCTGCACATCCTGCCATGCCTCCTGGTTTCATGTGATGTTATTTCTGTGTGCAGGTTTGAAACCAGCGCCTTTACTATTTTCCACGTGTAAATAATTATGCATCTCTCCCGCCTGCACTCTAGAGATTACAGATTTAGGCCTTTTAGTTGGTCCTAATAGTTTAGATGTTTTACCAAGTGAATTCTAGCAGTAAAGGATCTCTGCACGCTCTCCAGGTCAGCAATTTCTCCAGCTTTGAAAGGGGCTGTCATTGTGCAACAATATTCCATTCTAGAGAGCACTAGAGTCTTGAAAAGTATCATCGGTATAGCATCTCTAGTGAGAAAAGTTCTCGTTATCCAACCTGTAATTTTTCTTGCAGATGTGACAGCTACTTTATTGTGTTATTTAAATGTAAGGTCTTCCGACATGAGTACACCCAAATCGTTTACATCGCTTTTTCGTTCTATGTTATGATTTGACTGCGTTTTGCACGTGGTTTCCTTTTTTTATATATATATTAATTTCTTCCATAGCGCAGGAGCTGGAACTTATCTTCATTAAATACCATATTATTTTCTGTAGTCCATTGAAAGACCTATTTACATCTGATTGGAGGTTTGCTGTGACCTATGTTGTCTACTCTTCCCTCTCCCACTGCTGGACTATTGTCATGTCCCAAGGCAAGCCCACCTCCCATGCTCAGGTCTGCCCAGTCTACTCTTACCAAGAAACTTCCAAATCACTAAATCAGCTTTTCAGAAATCTGGTCCCTAACATACAATGGAAAAGTTTGTCGGATAGAACTGTTAAGTCTGATTTCCTCTTGATCAGTGTTCCCTATCTCATTGCATAAATTGATGGTACTGGTATTTGTGTCTTCCCGTTATCCAGCACTAATTCTAAAATCCTATATTTCCATGTTGGCTTCATACGTTGTTTAAGGAAACAGTCATCAACTATTTCTAAAAAATCATCTACATCAGCCTTTCTTGTTTAGTTAGTCCATTTATTCTACTAAAATCAAAGTTGCCTATAACACACACATTGTTAGATCTAGATGTTCTAGAAGTTCTTCCCATACATGCCATCTATCTATTCTGCCGAGTCTGGAAGAAAGGTAAGGGAATGGTAGCCAAAGGTGAGGCGATGGTAGCTGAAGATGAGGGGATTGCAACAAAAGATGGTGGTGTAAAGATCACATCTTCGAAGAGAATTTACTAATATTAAAACAGATGGCAGGCATGTTCTCTCTGTCACAATATAGTGGGTGAAAACATAATTCTCCTCACACACGTGAATTGAAAGTGACGACATTTCTGTCCATCCTGGAAGTTGTGACGCAAGAGTGGGAGAGGAGCAAATATAAGACCAGAGGGAAGGTGAGGTGACAAGAAGTGACAGATAGTGGGAGAAGTATGAAAACTGAGCTAACATAAATGCCATCACTTTCATTTCTTTTCATGTATGTATGCAAATCAGATCATGTCTGAAATACTGACAACATAGCCTATAAATTGTAAGCCTGGAATTACTGTCACAAAATAAGTTTGCACTTGGGATTACTGTAGTAGAGGCCAGCATGATAACCCTCACTACCTTCAGTCTTAAAACACTGATCTTACTCTCACCCACTACCTTTATAGTTAACAAAATTCACAATTGGACCTCTTAACATTGTAAGAAATGCATTGCACTTTAACATGGCTATCTGCATATTTTGTAATATGAAATTTGCAATTTTGCAATCTGAGTATGAAATGTGCAAGAAGCTTCTGGCAAATCAAGTACAAAATGTTTGACGTTTTCAATGAGCATCACACACATTTCAACACTACAAATCTTAGCCATGTATGTTTTCATCAGAGTCTTGTGCAGGAGGTCGGGACTACCCCTAGCCTAGGACTCAACACTACAACTGTCATGATGGGAGTGCATGGACTCTAGAGCACCTGGCACATCAATATCTGTCTTTTATTAGTTAACCACACCACGATCATATTAGTATCTAGTGCTTAGCTTCAAGAGACCCATTAATGGCAGTCTCCTGTGTGGATGTGTCGAGTGGTCACTTTTTATCAATGGACTGTGTAAACAATGAAAGTATAAAATATAATTGTCTAAACTGACAATCAGTTTTGCTTTATTATACACTTATTGTTATGTCCACTTTGTTTCAATTTATAAGTTGCATTTCTGTTTCGTAAACATCACATCACTAGACTCATAACTCGGAACAGTGTCCAGGTCACCGTTCACTGTTTCTTGAAGCTTTTTAAAATGGGGTAAATATTGTCGAAAGCTTCGTATATCTGGATTCGAAATTTTGCACCTGGGAAAAAAAATTAATGTGGTTAATTTTGACTTTGCAATTTTATTCAGATGTGGCAGCTGTGTTGCAAGGTGTGCCAAAATCCTAGGGAACAGAGGAATCAATAATAATGCCAAGTAGTAACTTGAGATTATGGCTGCTGAAGGTAATGCAAAAATAATAGGGTCTTGGAGGAGAATTTAATTGAATTAAAGAGCTGGAGGCAGAGAAACCTACCTATCCACAATATGGCAGCTCTTATATAAATACACAAGTCGAAGTAGGCTTGAGACACTAACACACTTAGACAATGAGACAAAAAAACCACTCCACTACTAGAGTGCCAAGTACGATCTGGTAAGAGAAAGTCTAGGCTTCCTATAGGTATTGATAATGACCAGCACTAGAGTGCCAACTCAACAAATGGAGTTTAATCAAATTTTTTATTTAACATGTAGTGAGGTTTGAGAAAGAAGGACACAAGGACCAATTAGTTTATAAGAAAGGTACATTAATTGAAGGAGTAAAAAAAAAAAAAAAAAAAAAAAAAAAAAAAAAAAAAAAAAAAAAAAAAAAAAAAAAAAAAAAAAAAGCGTTGAATGTAATGAAACGCCATTTTCTGGGTGAGACCCGGGAGGCTCCCCGGAGCTATACTCGGCTGATATGCTAATGTCAGACTTTGGCATCAGTCATGTGTATGGAGTTCTAGGGCCTACCGGGGACCACGGCCAGAACCTGGCCCCCTCAGAGAGGCAAGGGGAGCAATGGCCTATAGAAACCCCTGTGTGGTTGGAAGCGTTCTATGTCTGCCATCGACCGGGTCAAGCATCCAGAAAGGTAAGCATTCCAAAACAAACCGCTATTCTGGTTAAAATTGCTACCAAAAGCCGAACTAGTGGATAGAACTCCCCAACAGAAAACAAGCAAACTAGTGTGACGTCACACGTCACCGCGCCACTGTCTGCGCAGCTCCCCCCTCCCTGGGAGGGGGAAGGGGGAGCCCCAGACCTCTCACGCCGGCTATCCACCCATCAGTTCTGAGGCTGGATGTCAAAACATGCGAAAAACCGCCGACCGGAGGGAGGGAGGGTTGCCGGGGAGCCTCCGGGTCTCACCCAGAAAATGGCATTTCATTAGTCAACGCTGGCTTTCTGGGGGAGGGGGGGGGGGGGAACCCCGTCGGCTCTCCGGAGCTAACTACCCACAGAGGATGGTCAAAGGGACGGAACTGGGATGCAGACACCACATACCCCCTCAATGGAAGCGAGACAACCAGCAGCAAACGCCAACCCAAGGCGACACAGCCCCGAAAGGGCCCGAGAACAGCACGAAACAACGAGCAGCTAGGCCCCTGTATGAACACCAAAAGATCCATGCCCGAATGACAGCAAGGACACGCCGCCCAGACGGCAGCAAGAGCAGTGAAGCCACGAATGCCACGGGCATGGGTAAAGAACACAGGCGGGCTAGCCGCAATAACACGGCGGACAACCCGGGACACATTCACCTGTGAACAGGGAAGAACGGAACCAGATCAACTCAAAGCGCGCCCCGGACATAGAGGCCACGGCACGCAAATAACAGCGGAGGGCCGCCACTGAACACGACGCACCCCCGGCCCGACCAACCAAACACCAACAAACTAAGGACCCCTCCGGAACGCAGCAACCCTATCCCGTGCCAGAAAAGATGAAGACGGCTGCCACCAAACAACCAAAACGCCAAGACTGAAGGAGCAGAAACCCCTGTGGAGAAAAGCACGAAGCCCAGTGACCCAAACACCAGAGGCAAATGCCAACAGGAAAAAAAGAGCCGACGAAAAACAAACCTGAACCGAAGGGGCACCACCAACCGAGGAGAAGACAGAGCACACTGACCAGAGACCAGGGCTGTGCAAGCGGCGCACGAACAGGCCGGAGGTGAAACAACGCACGAGAAAGCTTACTAACGGTGCTGAAGCAACACCAAGAACGAAAGCAAGCCGAAGCAGCTCCGCCAGCGCCGCACGAAACGAATCGACAGTATGTGGCAAGACGACGGCCCCCAACCCCCACCAGAAAAACCAAGCCGACGCTAACAACCGCAACCACCTAAGAAAGGACAGGAGGAAAAGGAAGGACTGCCAAAATACCCCATACTGCCGCCAAGAAGCACACAGGTGGGACACCAACAACGAAGCCACCAGACCACCAACCGGAGGCGAGACACGCGAGGCAGAATGTAAGCAGCCCCGACAAGACTCATCCGAGCCCAGGAAAAGGCGGAGCCACAGGAAGTTCTCGGGCACGACCACCAAAGAAACCCAAGCCGGCAAAAAGGAGATGGAACGTCTGCCGAACAGAAAGCTCCCGAATGCGAGCAAGACCGCCAGGAGATCAGAAACGACAGGTCCGACGCGAGACATCGCAAGATCCTGAAAAACCAACAGGCATGGCAAGCCAGGAAAACCGAAGGTGGTGTAAGGGTCGCCACCAGACCAGTACCCGAACCAAGGGGTTCGAGCAACAAAAACAGACCAAGACACATAAGCGCACCATAGGACACAGGCTGAAGAAACGCCCAAGAAGCCAAGGAACGCACAAAGAAAAACTCTGCGGCAGAGGAGGAAACAAAGGGAACGCACAAGGAAGGAAAGTGCCAGACCCCCTTCCCCCATACAGCAGCAAGTGCAGGCAAAACAGAGCAAAAGAGATGCCAGGGAAGCGACAGGGGGAAGGCAGGACGAAAGAGCCAAAGCTCAACTCCCAGGAAACACAACCAGGGGTGGACAATCAGGCATGGACAGAACCCCACGCACATGGAAGGGCCAAGCCAGGGAACCAAAGACCACGAAAAATAACACAAGCAATCCCCAACACGCAAACCCCAGGCACAAAACAGCAGCAAAGTGTCACACCACAACCCGACACAGGAACAAGGACACGCCACCGTGAAACACGTTACCAATGCACATGTGCAGCAGCAACATGCACCACACGCAACACGCAGCATATATGTAGCAACTTGTCTCTGCGAAGGCAGAGAACGGTGCAGGCAGACCCCAGGCCAACCCCAGACAGGGCCAACGGAGACACGACAGAGTCCAGCAGGCCCAGGAACCTGCACACCAGGCGACCGATGGTGGAGATACCTGCTCAATACCTGCTTGATGGGGTACTGGGAGTTCATATACTCCCCAAGCCCGGCCCGAGGCTAGGCTTGACTTGCGAGAGGTTGGTCCACCAAGCTGTTGCTTGGAGCAGCCCGCAGGCCCACATACCCACCACAGCCAGGTTGGTCCGGAACCTCTGAGAAAACAGGCTAGTGTTCTCTCGATGTCCACGGATGTACCAGCAATATGTTATATGCTCGCAGGTAGGAATGTTTAACAACCTCAGACCTCTGATGTTTATACAGTGTTCCCCGATTGTGCCTATGGCACCACTGCACTCCACTGGTACTATCCTGCATGTTCTTCCATACAGGCAGGACCAAAGAGCCAAAACTCAAACCCCTCAAGCACAACCAAGCGAGCCCAACCAGGTGAGTACATAACCAACACCACAACCCATGCCTATGAGCGGGACTGGAAGGGTTGAAAAGGGACAGTCACCGGAGTGCCGATGGCCTCATATTTTTACATAAATATACCTAAATAAAGACAGGTATATAAATATCTCCGCATCCAGCGCCCAGCTGAAAGACGCCAGACCGCAGAAACTCGCCTGTCGAACGGAGGCACGAACGTGACACGACCCAACAGTGCCAAGAAGATCCCGGGAGCACCGCCAGGTGAAGAAGCCAAAGCCGGACACGCAGGAGAGCAGGGTAGAGGCGAAGGAGAAGGCCCACACCCATGACACAGGGAAAACCTTGGCGTCCTCCCCACAGGTGTAATCCAGGACACCCCCGGAGCGACGGGGCACATACCGGAGAAGGGAGAAGCGCGAGAGGCGAAGCACCCGAGAAAAAAGGGCGCAAAACACCAGCAATGAAACACGCCGCCCAAACCAAAACAAACTCCCATGGCACATGCGCAGGACACGCCGGCCGAACCGCACAACCCGCTCTGCGGGAAGGCGCCAACTAGGACTACTGCTCAAGAAAAGTAGCCAAACAGAACGCAACCCTAGAGAACCGCTAATTAAAAAAGACAACCCATCACACGGACAGGAGGCAAAAGAGGAAGCAGCGACAACATAACCGGCCAACGAAGCGAAGACAAGGAGCCCAATGGGAACCCAACCGGGCCACGAGCAGCCCAACTGTGCTACAAGTAGACCAATCCAGCGACCCGGACTAGGAGCCGACAGACGTTCCAATAATACGGAAAGTAGCGAAAACCTACCCTAACCCTCAAGAACACAGAAGCAAACACCAGTCCCAAAGGCACACAAAGGTACAGTCGCACCCAAGACCAAAAGTCATGTAGAACCCCAATAACGGGGAAACATGACGAAGATACCCTCGTCCCAAAAAAGGGGGAGCAACGGAGAAGTGCACCCACCTACAGGAAGGAACCAATCGACTCAAAGGACAAGGAACCAAGCCCGGGGAGGGGCCGACGCCCAACAACTCGTACGGTGATGGGGGAGGAAAACCCCCGTTCTGCGTAACTACAAGCCCCGCCTAGAGAGGAGAAAAAAAAAACGCGGGGTCCTACGGGGCCTGAGGCCCCCCAAGGCAGCCCCTCCCCAGCCTCGGGGCTGAGCCGTCCCCCCAAAGCCCCGGCCGTACCAGAAAACCAGGGCAGCCGCAAAAATACTAAGGAAGGGAGCCCACTGGCAGACTCTTATAACACAGCTGGAGGAACAGGCGCGAGTACCCCCGTCACTACCCTGGAAGGGGAATTCCCCGAGACCGCCCGAGTCTCAAAACCATCGAACCAAAATGGGGCAGCCCCGGGGCTTCCGGAGAGCAAACAAACGAGAGCGTTGCCACCACCAAAGCTCAACGTGCAATGCCCCTGCTGCCTGCACCCGCTTAGTCAGCACACAACTCGGTAACCGATCCATAATGAGCAACAAAACTTGCAGGACTCA